GATCTCGTTGGCACAGGCACACGAGACATGGCAACTTTGTCCCAAAAATTTCTTTTTAAGGAATATATAATAGGGAATGATTTTGCACCTTGGAGCTGGACAAACTTAGTTTTCGGGCCTTAAAGAGGCTCAAGGTTTAGGGGTTCTGTACTTTCCAGATTCTGGGGTGCTCTCATTTCCCGTATAAGCCAGTTGATTTGAATGCAGAAAACAAGTTGCTGTACCTCAGGAAAGGTTTAGTGACTAATGCAACAGCTGCTTTGTTAAAGAACCCAAATTTCTCTGTAACACTGATTAAACAAAGCCGTTCATATAAACTCACTTAATAACCAGGCTCTAAAGATTATTCCCTTACCTCTACATACACCCTGCCAGCTGGGTTTGGCCTACTTTGGACCACCTTCAGGGATTCACAGAATGCTTTGACACTCACAAAGCTCCCACTTTAATCCCAGAGGGAGAGAGAACATAATGCCAGGCACATCATTCACGTCACACCTTGGAGGGGGAAGGGACCGCCAGTGCTTTGTGCTTTTCCCACCTTCTTCTGAAGTGTCCTGTGGGATCCCAAACCTTGCCCATTCCTGCCCCTGCAGCTGGCAGTAATCCCATGGAAAGGATCCTTTTTCACATTCTATCTAACCCAGATCCATTCTCAGCCACCTTTTACAGAGCACTATTTGTTATTTATATTCTCAGCTTCATCCAGTAGAGAGCGCCCTTGCTTTGCTGACTCATTCTGGAGGCTCTCCCAGTTCTGTTTGGGTACTATTAAATTTTAAGAAATAACAGGGACCTTGTGAGCCAAAAAAAGATACAGAACCCTCCCCAAGGCCTGGTGTTTGCCATTATGCTGGCTTTTCAAAGGCAAAAGGAGAAAAGAACATTATAATACAAACACCAAAGGAATGCCTCGTTTTCCCTGGAATCGGGGTTTCTTTTTATAAAATCAGTTTTTAGTTTGGATTTCAATATCCTCTTGAATGTGTTTTGCTGCATGGGGTGGGGATTGGAGAGCCAATATATTTATAGAGAAATTTATTTTCAAGGTTCCCAGCTGTGCCAGGAGGCTGGTGGTGACCTTAAATCACGCTGGTTTGGAGGAAAGAAATCTAGATTTTACTGGATGTGTTGCAAGAGCTGGTTTCCAGGCCTTTGACCCTGGTTTTCTCCAGATTCCATCCACCCCGGCTGCTTCGTTGCTTCAGCAGATCATTAATCAATGGAGCTGTAAAGAAAAGCAACAGCCACCCTACAACAAGTGTATTTTCCTGCCTGACTCAGATGGGGCCTTAGATATTTTATATAAAGAAGCCACTGACACCCCCCCCCCGGAGGGGAGGGTGTCTGTGATATGGACCTGGCTGTTTTGGATGAGGAACTGTGCAAGCTTCTGGGCATCACAGAGACGCGCATGTGGCTGCCTGGTGGCCAAGCGTCGTGTGAAACTCCAAAGCTTGCCCCTTTGGACCTCAGGTTGGTTTGCAAAAAGAGCTCAGGAAAAAGGAGAAAAGATTTTGCCCCAGAGAAGGATGATGGGTACTGAAACCAATCCAGTGCTCATGGGCTGGCTTAATCATCAGACCATGGCTGGCTGGGGATGGTGGGTTTTATAGTTGCAAACACAAATTAGCACACCTGTGTCCAAAGCCATATGGAACGTGTCTCCTTTATGGGCATCCGCTGTGATTCTTTTCCCTCTCTTGTTCCCTGTGTAACCAGAGTGCCTCTGAGAACGTGCAGTGTGATTTTGCCTTCCCTATCTGCCCCAAACCACTGAGCAGTCCCACCTAAAAATATGGAATACAACTTTATTTTTTCAGAAAGCTTTGATTCTGGACAGACCTTATTTTCTGGAGTTACAATCCTCCATGCGATTATTCGAGGAGAGGCTACTGGGCTCAAGGGGGACTCTGAGTAAGCATAGCAAAGTAGGCATCAGGTTACTTAGCTGTTCTAAGTGGGTCAGAATGGATGACCTCTGGGGTTCTTTCGCATTTAGAAAATTGACAATGCTATTTTACATCACATGGTGTGGAGGAGAACCTTCTCCAGCCTCAGGGAGCAATATTACTGCCTCCCTCAGAGATTCCCTCTCTCTGGTCTCTGTTGTAAGGCAATGTGGGATAGTGGTCAGAGCGTGCCAGGTTTAAACCTGACAAGTCTGCTTCTGGGTTTTCTCAGCTGTGAAGTTTGGTGAATGACCTTCAGGCCATAGCTCCCCAGTTTATCCCTCCTCTCTATGCTCCTGCCACCTTTTAGACTGACTACCTTGTAGGGCTGTCAGAGAAATAAAAACAAGGAAGAAATGACAAATATCGTCTTGAAATACTTGGGGCATTTAAAATGATCCATGTCATTTTAAAAGGACCCTGGGTGCAGGAGGGGCAGAGTCTTTTTGCCCAGCTGGCTGAGGATGATGGGACTGAGAGCCTAACCTATCTGAAAAGCAGCAGATAGAGAAGGGAAAAATTCGGGATTTGGGCATTTTAAGGATCCTTTTTTTGTTTTTGTTTTTTTTGCTTCCCCTTTCAAATATCTGGGGAGAGTCAGCCACAAGGGTGCAAGCCAATGCAGGCTTCCTATTTCTCAGTGCCTCCAAAAAATGGACCAGAACTTAAAACTTTTTGGCTCTAGAATTTAATGCAATCCATTAGTGAATCAGAGGGTTGCAATCAAAAGGGATGCAATAACATCATCATCAACAACAATAGATACTTAAGTTTTTTGATTAAAACTTGTATCTGTTATATAATCCAGTCAAAGATTGGGTCAATAACAATGATGACAATGACGACGACGACAACAACAACAACAACAAAACAACAACAACAACAAAACAACAATAATAATAATAATAATAATAATAATAATAATAATAATAATAATAATAATAATAATAATAATAATAATGAATAGCAGGAACAACAACAGATACTTAGGTTTTTTATTAAAACATGTATCTGTTATATAATTTGCTAGGAAAGCAAGCAAAAACTCCAGGGCAATTTTTTTTTAAAGTCATATTATGCATCTTTCAAAACCAGTACTCCTCCTGACCCCGTGCGTCTCTATCAGAGCCATCAAAATGTGCAAATAAGGCTTCCATATATAGTTGATTTCCCCCCTGATAGGAACAAGATAATCTATGTTAATATAGAATAAAACGAGTCGGCGTGGTTTAATGGGTAGAGTGTTGGAAGAGGGTCCTGCTTGGTCTTGTAAAATATTTTGAGGGAAAAATCTTTAAGTTTCTCACAACATTCAGAAACTGTATTAGGAATTATCAGGATCCCCAGTGTGGTGTTGTGGCTAGAGAGTGACGGCCTAGGAATCAGGAGAACTGGGTTCGAATGTGCCTGACCAGGGAAACTCATGGTTGGGGGGCAACAGTGGTTAAACTACCCTTAAATATCTCACATACAGTACCTTGAAAAAACTATTAGGGTCACCCTAAAGCAGTGTCAGCGATACATAGTATAAAATTGAACCAACTTCATGGCATGGAACAGCATAGATACAATGTAATACCTTATTATGTTACAACAGTATCTGCTGTATGTTTAAATTTAAATGTACTGTGTAGTACAGTATATAAAATTGCATGAAATAATGTCGCATTGTATAACAGTGTATCTCACATGAATACATGTAAACTACATAGTGGCATAAAAATGTAACCGTATTGTATAATAATGTTTATTGTATACAGTATTTGCTGTTCTGATATGCCTTTGACTTAAAGTACTCCTGATAAGGTTTTCAAGGTATGCGGGATATTGAAGGAATGGCTTTACCAAGGCCACCCCGACCCCCAGTGAGTTTGCCTGGTTGAGCAGAGATTTGAACCCAGCTCTCCTGCGCCCAACACTATCTAGGATATCACACTGGCCCTCACATATATATGTATTTTTATTTATAAATACGTTTGTTATTGTGTGCCAGTGTTGGCACATTATTGTGTGCTTTTCCCAATATGATTTTTCTGAGATTTTAGTCATGCATCAAGTTAAAGTGTTGTAAGCCGCCTAGAGTGGTCGCAATGACCAGATAGGCAGGGTATGTATGTATGTATGTATGTATGTATGTATGTATGTATGTATGTATGTATGTATGTATGTATGTATGTATAAATAAATAAATAAATAAATAAATAAAAGTGCTGTGGCGCTAAATCCATCAGATAAAGAGGCTCCAGAGCTAAAGAGCGATGGAAAAATGGTAGAAGGAGGTGGCCAGGAGGCCACTAAAAAGCAAGTTTTCGTGGAATTACCCCCCCCCACTTCTTCAGGCACACACCCGTAACTTGTGAATCGTGCAGGAAAAAACTATAGAGATCCGCCCCTTCCTCTTGACATTCTTCCTCCCTAAACCTCTTTGTTGTCGAAATAAAATATTACGAAGGTCCCTTTAAAAGGGGGAAGGAAATGTGTGTGTCGAAGGGGGGAGAGGGAGTCGGGTTCTGCGCCGCGTGTGGGCGGAGAGAAGTGAGGGGTGGGGGGGAGAAGCGCTCCTTTCTGCGGCCCCCCCTCAAAAACCCTCCCACGACTGCTCGATCTCGGGGGAGGGGCAGAGAAAGAGAGGGGGAGGGGGAGGTGAAGTATCCGGTCCCCCTTTCCACGTGGGGGAGAGCGGCAGGGCGGGCTCCCATTGGCCCAGAGCGCCGGCGTCTCGC